TTTCCCACCTAGGTCGTCTCTACCCCGCATGCAAAGGAAATGTCACTTGGAGTTTCATCTCCTATACCCAGGCCTCCATCGGGCGCTCCAGCAGGGTCACGTCTTCCCTCACAATGGCGTGGTGGCGGTAGATGCCTCCCTTAGTCTGGCGTTGCAGAAGGCGTTGGACGACACAATGGTGGCTACCTTCACCAGCAACACCAAAAGCCGCAGGGGGCTCGTGTGCAAGCTGTCCGGCGTGGGCCAAAAACTAAGCCCTCGGGACATTGCACCGTAGAATCATGTCATCCAGGGGAGGAGAGGAAAGAAGAGCCGACACCACCGGCCAACTTCGTGTCCCTCAATACATGAACATTTCTTTTGGACAGACCACCGCCACCACCCCCAACAAGGACACCGTGATCGTCAGACTGGCGGAGAAAGAGCGTGAATATCTGAAGCGAGTCTTCTCTAGACTGTATAACAAAAAGTGCGTCGACCTGGACCTCCGACGCCACGTGGAGCCCCGTGTTCTCAAGTGGCATCACTCCCACTTCGCCACGGGAGATTGCTCTGCTCAAGCAATCAGGGCACATATACAGGAGGACCGGCCGAATGACGGTGGCTCCGGCTTCCGCGTACGGGTCTTGAGCACAGCACAGGTGCAGCGGCTGATTGGGGAGTGGTACCGGGGGAAGTGTGGAAGTGAGCGGCTGGGAGACTGCCAGGACCTAGCCCAGCATCACTTGGGTGATCTCAATAGTGGGATGGAAGTCGAGGAGAACAAAAAGTGATGAAGTGCGCTGGCTCAATTTCCATATCTTGCTACTACTGTGCGAGCGGGGACGCGGTGCATAGAAGGGATCGGGACAATGGCTGGGCGATTGCCATTGTCCTGCCAATAATGACCCATGTGCATGAGCGGTTACACCATGTAGACTTAGTTTGACGTAGGCGGATTATTTAACGTCACGAGCGACCCGGTAGTGAAGCTCGTGTGGCTGATGTGCGGTACGCCTCTCGGAGGCATGCCCCTTGGTGTCATTACCCCATTTCAGGGGAATCGCGGGAAACATCTCGAAGAGCTGATATTGGGCGAATCTGTGTTGGCTTGAAGGTGGAAGGTTCGACGAATGTCGGGACAGGTCTCGCCGACCGGTCACCTACTCCATTTTAGACGTCCCACTCCGGGTCGCCTAGCGCTGACTTCCTCCGTCGTCCATTCGTCAGAGGAGACATCTCGGTACGCCACCCGGAGACAAGCCCCTTGCCCTTCATTGGAAATGTCAACAGCGCGGTCGGATACGGTGCGCCGTTGAAGGCCCTCAAGGAGGCACTCACGGGTTTCCGTGCGTTCTTCTTCCGGCCTTGAATGTAGACCCGCCAGCGTCTTCGCTGATGTGGGGGCGGAGGGAAGGGCCTGTGAGATGGCGTGGTCAGAATCGGAGCTGAGATCCTGCACCTTCAGTGTCCTCCAAGCCGTTTTAATCTGGAGCAAGGAGAAAGCAGACATTCCCAGCCAAGAAAGGTGGCCCTCCTGGCGGCGTTCCATGACCTATTTTATTGGGACTCGTCGAAGCGCGTTGTGGGAAAGGAGCTATAGGCCGAGTTCGTGGCCGGGGCTGTGGGCCCCATCCTGCAGAACGAGACGGTAGAGGCTCACGACCGCTTCGTCGACTACCTCTCTGTGCACTACAGCCTTCCTGACGTCCGCACAGCGGGCCTCGCCCACGAGGATGATGGAGGCGCCCCGTCTTTGGCCGTAGTGTCTGGCACGGCTGCGGAGAAGAAAGCTCGCAAGGCATGGCAGGTCTTCCCGTGGTTTCGGAAGGAGCTCGCTGTCGTGACGGGTGGAAAGAGATGAACAACATCTGCAAGGGGAATAAAAGTGTACTTACCCTAATCCTGATCCTACCAGATAATTCACATTGAGGCATAATCTGGTAGCGGTAGGAGAGAGGAATCGCGTGGAAGGTAGCGAAATGACATGGAAGAGGCTGCAGTTTGTGCTGTCCTGGATATATAGCGAATTGGCCCGGGGAACATTTAACATCCGCTATCACTTTGAGTGAGACGGCATCTGAGGCTCACAAGAGCTAGTTTCATAAGTAGTATTAAGTTGAAAAAGGCTCAAAAGATAGAACGTTTCGTTCATCCACGTGCTATAGAAAAAAGCTCTACAGGGGCGCAATCAGACAGGAAAGAGAGGAATACACCCGCAGGGAACAGTGAAGATTACAGTGATCGACAGATGGAAAAGGGAAATGGGAAGACGACAATTAGATCTGTATCGCATGACAGACGTGGCATAGTGACCGCACTTAACAGTAAGCGGAGAAGCAGAATCACCTCCGATTGCCCTGAGCCCGGATCGGATACCTTTTTGAAGGACTCTTACGCCATCTGACAACCGTGGTAGACCAGCAAGTGATAATCATGCCGAGTATACGTTGACTAAGCATTAATTGCAGGTAAATCCATAGCAGGCTGAGCGCGAACAAATACCCAAGTATGGCGTGTAAATTGCGCACCTGACTTCCTTGAAATGCAGTGAAAAGAGTATCGTACTGACGGATACCGCCCTGGAATGGCTAGGAGAAATGGAGAATTATAAAGTGGGGGTCTCGTTTCCTCACATGGTGTGGTAGAGCTGAGGCAAGCAGCTTCGAGATTCACAAGTCGCGTGCTCTTCCACGCCCTACCTTCTACTACATTTTTTAAAACTTCACTGTCTGACTCAGTGTTTCTGCTGTAAGTTCTGGTGATAAAGAAACTGGCACACGGAGGGCTCATAACAGGCATTCGCTCTATGTATCGACATACATTATTAAATTATATTGAACTCTGTAGCGAAGACCTAAATTGACCACAGCTTACTTAACGCGCACGCTTACTCGTGAACCCTCTAAGCGCGAAGGGTATGGTATTGAGTTTTAAGAACAAGGAGAGAGGGATGTTTTGGAACCAGACGGGAGACGTGCAGGTGGATAGTACAGATCAAGTCTACATCTATGTCGTGTGTGAAGGAAAGGTAGGGTTGGAAAGGAAAGGCACTTTTTTCCGCAGGACCTTCTAAAGAGCGTGGAGGATTCATATGACACACCCTGCTTTACTATTAAAGGAAGAAAGAAGGGTAGAAAATTTGTAATTCTCGCAAGGTCGGAAATGAGAATTTCTCTCTACATGGCGCACTGAAGCTAGGGATGCGTATTGAACGTATGTTTAATGAGGAGATGAGAACGAGAAACTGACCTGAAAAAAAGCAATATGAAGATAGACCCTCATGCCAGATCAAGAGCGTGAAAGTCTAAATGCATCCTCGCTGAGTCATTATTCATGATTAAATTTACATTCCCTATTACCCTTCGGGACGTCTGACTTAGATATCCTGATCTACGTCATAGCTCACAAGCTTCCGCTCTCGGACGAAATCGAGGTACTCATCGTGGGTTGGCATTGGGGACGGAAAGCCTCGGGAGGTAAAGGAGCGGCTCAATGAGCGCAGCATGCCGTTCCGGAAAGGGTATTCCCTACACGTGGGCATTTGTGGTTTTCTATCTCGCCAATGGGGACCCTCTGCCAAGCCGCGCACGCGTCGCTCGACATGAGTCAGAAGTACAACTGCCATAATGTTGGCGATGGCCCGAGAAAGCTCCCAAACCATGTCGTCGATCTCCTCCCAGTGGTTTTGGGCGAGCTCTCCATACGTCTTCTCACCCGAATCTGCGTGAACGCATGCCAATAAGCCGAATAAGCTATCAAAGAGAAGCCGCTCGAGCATATGCTTCCGCCAGTACGTGTAATCCATGACCTCGACATGCAGGTCCTGCTTCCTAAGACGTTCGGCGACGGCCCCACGCCAAGTCCCGCACACAACCGTCTGTCCGGCAAACTTCGGCTCACCATCTGTCTTGCTAACGTCGTATTGTACGCGCCCTTCGACGGGCAGACCAAAGGGAGAGATCGAGAAGTAAGGGAGGCACTGTGTAGTCTTCTTATTCGCCAACCCGTACCTCTTCAAGAGAGTTTCCAGGCACGCCGACTGCATGAACACCAAGTCGTTCCGCTTCTCCTTGGGACAACCAAGGATCACACTTTCCACCTCCCACTCTGGTACACATACATAGATAGGAAACATATTCAAGGTACAGCCATTAGAGACAGTCAAGACGGTGGGTATACAGTCGTCACGCCCGAGAAGCAGATCGTCTTGTCCCACACCCCCCCACTGAACCAGCGCTTGCCCAAGTTTACCCTTTCCAATAATCACGCTGGCTTGGTCACACTTATCAGGCTCCTGGGTAAAAATTTATGTGCAAGGACAAATAGAAAATTATTAGAAGACGCGGCGGAATATTATATGGTGGGGTGGAATGACGCCATCGCAAGTTATTCACCGAATTCTTTTCGCACTACTTTGAGAATTTCTGAAAACTTTATGTAAAGATGTCCACGATACAAATTATCATACATTTGATTTCTCAATTGCATTGGTTGTTGTTCTTTAACTCGATACTGCTCTCTCCTCCACTCATACCATACCTCTTTTCCTTCAATAAATCGGAAGTAATCCTCCGTGTGCTGCTGATCGGATCGAATTTGCCACAGCCGTACAAGAGATTTTCTAGAGTGAGGTAGGTCCTCGTGCGGACAAGGTGAGCGGTAGAAAGTGGTGTACATATGCAGTGCGCTCGTTTGCTGCGACACGATGTTTTTGCGAAGATACACAGATTGAAAGGCAGAAGCCCGCAAAGAGAGGAAGATCCCTAGCACTGGTAACCACGAGGGAGGCAGCGAGACTGAGCCGCTAAATCTAAACTTGTGCTTCATGTTTCCCGTCTGCTTAACTTGCTGCTGTTGCTGTTGCTGATGGTCTTGACACGTCTCCGTTTTAAGGTCCCTTTTCAGGATCGAGATTGACCAGCCGAAATGTTCCGCGTGTACACAAATATTTCGTCCGTCCTTTTTAACGAAGACAAGTGAAATGGAATGAGCCATAAGTGCTGTGATCGCCATGGTGAATGAAGTTTCAGATACCTCGGTCGCCGGGTACTGGAAGGCCTTTGACGGATTGCTTCGCTGACCATCCTGGCAGGGTACTTGAAGTGCAAGATGGGCCAGGGTCCCTGGCACTCCTTCGCTAGTACAGCCTCCTCGCATTTCCAAACATTACGACATGAAACAGAAGATAATTCATTCCACCTTAGTATACATCGAAAAGGTAAGGTGAAAGCGGTCTACTTCTGCAAAAATTTAATTTTGCGGTAGCGTCAATTGATTTACTCCGACCTTGTCTGAACCCGCTTGGTCCGAGCCCGCCAGCCATTGCGTGTATAGAGACATGCGAGCCCTAGAGATTACCCAACTCAGCTCTGATTGATATAGCACGTCTCAATAGAGCAGGTTCAAACCTATATATCTACTTTTCTCAGCCTGTGCGCAGGATGTGGCAATATGTTTACTCTTTGATGTATTCTGTTCCGACTTCTTGGGTCGCAGGGTCAATCCTTACATTTGTGTCCTGGATGATATTTCTTTTTAACAGGCTCTGAGGATGTGTTGCCAACAAAATATCACATAGCTAATTCATTTAGTCTTTTAAGTGTACAAATCTTGTGTCTATCTTTGGTCTAAGTTTAAGGTAATGCTGGGTCTTCAAGTTCTAGGCAATGTTTCCTCTTGCGTCTCTTTTAGCACCAGCTCTGGTGTGAAGTAATTAATGGTTTTTTATCTTACGCTTACGCAACAGGGATGTTCTTGCAGCATGATTATCGGAGATGGAAAGTGGTGCTTCTAAAATTCATCGGTCTAGTGCAATTCGTTAGATCGCGACAACTCCTGCGAACTAATGACACTGCTACTCCGCGTATCAACAATAGCTTTATCGTCACTCACAGCAAAGAACGAAAATTTTCAGATTCCCCACATGTTCTTCATATTTCGAGCGTCGCTGGACCAGGACTAGAAAACAGGCTTCTTGGCGTACCATTGGGTGGTGAGAGTATCTCATTCTTCCCTCTCGTACAAATCGTCCTTGATCCACGAAGGGTGCAAGATCGATCTCCCAGCAGACACAAGCTATTCCCTTCTTGTGGATTCGCAGAGCCTATTATTGATGCCCCAGGGTATTGCCCTCTGGTGCGCATACTTGAGAGAGGCGCAGATATGAATTACGACTCTATCCTTCGAGGTTTTACCACCGTCAAGAATATGTACGAGACAGAGAAGGAACCTGCGCAAGACGATGAAAGCTCGCTGCCTGTACGCATGGCCGACATCGGGCACCCACTTCCTTTCCAAATAGAAGACCAGGCACTTATCGAGAAGGAGCGCCAGACCGCATATTGGTACTACCGAAACATCCTGAACCTCTATACATACGTCAAGCGCTGCGTCCAGGCAGGGACCGCCACAGCCAACCCCCCACCGTACGTCCCCCGGGGTTATCATTCGCAACGTTTGATCTTTACATCTAGCAACGGAACAAAAGATCCACCCATTGGCCAGAGCTTCGTAAAGGGCACGCACATAGTGGTAGTTATGCGAGGTACCATTTTTAAGACAAACCTCGTGCAGGACGAGACTTTCGAGTACGCAAATCCATCCGACCCTGGCGTCACATCCTCCGGTTTGAATGGACGCTTGCATAAAGGCTTCTTCTCGGAGGCCCTGACGCTGACCCAGCAGATAGAAATGGGACTCGATGCTCACCCCACTGTCGACTTACTCTCCTTCGCTGGTCACTCCCTCGGCGCAGCTTACATACAACTCGTAAGCCCCATCCTAGCCCTCCGTCGACCCGACCTGGCGGTAGAGGTCTGGAACTTTGGCGCACCGCCCGCAGGAGACACCGGATTCGTAGAGCAATTCAACGCCTTGCTCAATCTTCGTGCCCGCAGTTTCATGTACATTGGGAACGGGCTGGTCACGTCTGCCCCCGTCCCCTTTGGCATCGGCGACATCATTCCTCAGGCTTTGAGTCTTTGTTGGCCCGTGCGAGGTTGTCCAGGAACACAGAATCCGGACATGAATGCGGCGATCAAATACGAGGCGACGGGCGGCATCGTGGCCTTCTACTCGACAGACATGCCCAACACGCAGGAATGGAATCGAGTGGACCAAGTCGTCACCCTCGACTCCTCCCCCTCCGCTTGCCACGGCTGCTCCTATCTCTGCTGGTCTGTACAGGGACTAGACGATCCGGAGGACCGATGTTACTTTGCGGAACATCCCTGGCCTTGTCCCTACACAGCATGGGACGGCAAATAGAGCCAATAAAGCTCTTGCAAGATCGTAATAAAAACAAGATATAAAATATGCCGAGGAAATGGAAAAAAGAATCAAATCACTGCGCTCCACGACTGCACGCTCATAATACGAGGAAAAATGCAAATCATGTAGCCTTTAAATGCGATGAAACATCAGTACATAAGAGAAAGACTCCCAATCAATCTGGTTGTTTGTCAACCCTGCAATTCGCTTGTAAGCTGGGATCGCACAGTGCATATTGTGCCAGCAACTGCTTCGCATTCTGTTTAGGATTGTCGCCACCAACCCCACCAAAGTCCCCTTCCCGTGTCTTTCTTCCCAACCCTTTCGGTCCCCTTCTCAACCAGATCAACGGTTAAGATATGCGGCTCCTCTTGCCTCCTTCGATGCGCCGCCCCTACGGCATCACTGATCCTTGTGTAGCCGTCCCTCTCTAACAAGGTAGCTAGCTCGCGATTGATGCGTTTGACCGCCCCAGGCCCTTCGTAGACAAGCATACTGTAGACCTGTGCGGCCATGAATTAGAAGCGAACGAAAGGGATAGAGAGGGATGTCAAACACTGAAAGCTGGTATCACACGGCGCAAGACAGAGGCTTCGCGCGCATTGCCCGCTGCTCCCTCCCCTTTATCCAGGATCTTTCGTACTTGCACCAGCGACGCCCCCGCCTGTATTTTATCGTAGGCATCCTGTCCCGAGCCGATGCCTCCCACCCCAATGATCGGCAATTGACCGTATCCCGTCAGACGGTAAAAGTCGTGGACGGTCTGTGTCGCCAGCTCCTTGAGTGGCGAGCCGCTCAACCCGCCTGTTTCTCCCGCGTGCCGCGAGCGGAGGATTGGTGGCCGAGTGACCGTTGTGTTGCTGACAATCAAGCCGTCGATGCCAGTCTCGAGGGCCACGGCAGCGATGTCCTTCTTCTCCTCCTCCGTCAAATCCGGAGCCACCTTGATGAGCAGAGGCACCCGCCGACCGCGCACATTCGTCGCGAATCCTCTCGCGTGGCCGCTTGGACCCTTCAGCTCCCGTTGCACGGCTTGGATCAGAGACTGGAAGGCGCCCTTCCGTTGCAGGGATCGCAGCCCCGGGGTGTTGGGGCTCGAGACGTTGACCACCAGGTAGTCCGCGTACGGAGCCAGCTCTCGCACTCCAAGAACGTAGTCCTCCTCCGCCCTTTCGGTTGTCTTGTTCTTGCCCACGTTCACACCCACGAGGCCCCTCCTCCCCTCGTCAGTCTTCTCCCTGCCCTCCTCGTCGGCCCGGAGCCGCCCTTCCCAGTAGTCCTGCAGCCGCCGCTTGACCGCGGCCACGCCGTGCGAGTTGAACCCGTACCGGTTGATCACGGCCCGATCCTCTTCCAAACGAAACATCCGTGGCTTGGGGTTCCCGTCTTGAGGCCTTGGGGTCACGCTTCCTACCTCGACAAATCCCAAGCCCAGCCCCAGCAGCCCCTTCACAGCCTGCGCGTGCTTGTCGAAGCCTGCCGCCACGCCCACCGGATTCGGAAATACGCACGCATCGTCCCACAGGGAGACCTCCAGCGAGGGTGGGCTTCGATCTTCCTGGCCGGTGTGGTTGGCAGGTACCAATTCTTTGCTGAGGGCCCATATCGCCCAGTCGTGGGCGGTCTCAGGATCGAGCGAGCGCAACAGTACCATGCCTGGATGGTCCATGAGCCAGTAGAGCGTCGGGATGGTAATACGGCCATCATTTCCGAGCAGATCAACAGCCGTCAGAGTCCCAAGAACGGCCGCAGCGGTTGAGAACAAGTTAGGAAATGAGGCAGGAGGAGGGTGGGGGTTGGGTGGAGGGATACTGGAGGCGGACGAGAAGCGGGAAGAGAGGTAAAAGCGAGGCAATTGAATCGACGAGAGGGTTGTTTGGCGTTTGCGGAGATGCGGCCTAGGTCCTGCCTCGCGCCTGTAGGATGGCGTCAGTTGAACATGGAATTATGAGAAGGTTCTGTTTCTTCCCCGTTCCGGCACAAAAGGGGTATACGCAAGAGCAGACGGGACCCAAAAACGTGCCAACGTACTGCAATGATGGAGAGGACGACAGAAGACGGTTATAAAGATGCCGGGCTGCATTGTGATTATGCCAGGGTGCGCGGCACGCTGCAGGAGCGAAGCGGACCATGGTTGACGCTCTGGTTGTGAGAGTGATTTTAGTTTAAGCAACGAAAAGCAGCCACGTCCTAGGGCGCGAGAGCCACCAACTTCCTATCGTGGGCCCTGTACTACGTTGGGTGTACATGAATCAGAGATGGAATGCCGTTGTTAAAGGACGCTTCTCCTCAATCGTTCATTGTGTCCGTCTCGCCTTAAAGCCAAGTGCCGCGTCGAAGACTCGCTCAGCCAGGCAGCCGCCGCCACCCACCCCCTCAACCTATCCACGCCCCCACGTTATCTCTGTTCAAAGCCACACTATGCCGGCTCAGGCGTCCACCATAACTCAGCCGCCTCCATACCTGGTTTTTGACATAGACCGGAGATCTCGTCCCACTCGACAAATGATGCGACAAGTAGCCCTCCTGGCGGTCGCCCTCTGCGCCACCTCCTCCCTGGCTTTCCTGACCCCGCCCCCCCGGCCTGTGCGCTCGAGATGCGGCGTCCGCGACCGGGTATTGCAGATGTCAGGAGTTGAACGCAATCCCAATTTCGGCAAATTGATGGGCGGGTACGTACAGGTGCCTTGGTCTGACGGAAGGGCCCTTAGTTGGCATCCGTCCATGTCCGCTTCAAGATCGATCGGGTGACTCACGCTCGTTAGACAGTTTTCGTCCCATAATCCTTTTCGTCACCGCAACAAGCATCAATCCTATTGATAGATCTTAAGCTAACCGACATGGTTTACCAGCCCTGTCTGTTCGTTCCTTTGTACCGCTCACATCGCGTCTGCCTCCTTGCAACCTCCCTCATCCCCTCCTCCGAACCCTTCCCCTCGCGCCTTTTTTTTCTTTCTCCCACACCTAGTTATCTCTTCCCGGAAATTGCCCGCCGACGAAGTGCATTCCTTGAGGCCAACCCTGAAGCGAAAATTATCTCTCTGGGCATCGGCGACACCACTCAGCCTATCCCTCCCCACATCCTCTCCGGCCTCGTGCACGGGGCGTCCAAGCTCGGCACCCCGCCGGGCTATTCTGGGTAGGTTTCCCTGTTTTTGGTCATGCTCCTCTCGTTCTTAGGGCCGAAGAGCGTGTGTGTGAGGGACTCTAGGGCCCGATAGGTGCGAAGTGCATTCACTGGTCACGGGGCTGCCCCCGTATCAGGGCCGCGTCAACACCTCGCGAGCACCCGAAGACTTGATTCTCGGCGCCCTTACCCCTTTATCTCCCTGTCTGCCTTGTTCTCCGTCACCTCAGGTACGGACCCGACCAGGGCGTGAAGGACCTGCGGGAGAAGATCGCGAGCACGCTGTATGGGAACCGGATCGATCCTGACGACGTCTTCGTCTCAGACGGCGCTAAGTGCGACATAGGGCGGCTGCAGGTCATGTTCGGCAAGAACGTGGTCACGGCTGTCCAGGACCCGTCCTATCCCGTGTACGTGGACACGGCGGTGATCATGGGGCAGACGGGCCTGATCAACGAGCAGAGTCGCCAGTTCGACGGTAGGGTGTCGGGGGCCAGGGAGGGGTGCGCGTGGCTGAGCCTCCTCACGAGGCTTCGGCCACCCTTGTATTCTGACAAACTACGTCCAGAAGGCCTGACTTGCGGGCTTCATTCCTCGTGGCTCACGCGCTCCCCCCACCTCCCTCCCCCTCCAGGCATCGTCTACATGCCCTGCAACCCCGGCAACGACTTCTTCCCCGACCTGGCCGCCCTCCCCCAGCGCCCGGACGTCATCTACTTCTGCTCCCCCAACAACCCGACCGGCGTGGCGGCGACCAGGCCCCAGCTGGAAGCCCTCGTCTCCTACGCCCGGGAGCAAGGCAGCGTCATCGTCTTCGACGCCGCCTACGCGCCCTTCATCCGGGACCCGAGCCTGCCTAAGTCCATCTTCGAGATCGAGGGGGCGCTCGAGTGCGCCATTGAGGTCAACTCCTTCTCCAAGGTGGGGCGGGAGGGAGGGAGGGAGGGGGGGGGGAGAGAGGAGGGGGGGCCGTTGGGGACGGTGGGTGTTTGAGGAGCGTGGGGGTGTAGAGCTCTCAGGATGAACCTCTTGCCCTTTTCCACCCTGGAACTCTCCCTATCGGCCGCATTGCCCCCTGTGGCACCGGCATCTGTTGTTGAAATCCTTGCGTAAACAACCTGTCGGTCTATGCCTCTCTCCCTCCCTCCCTCTCTCCCTCCTGTCTGCCATCCACCTTAAAGCCACGAATGGGACGCTCACTCGTGGCATGCGAGACGCCCTAGTTCGTAGCTGAACTCACAGTGCTGTGTTCGACTTCCCCTCCCCCTTTTTATTTTACCTTCCCTGCTCATCCTCTACAGTACGCAGGCTTCACGGGCGTGCGACTGGGCTGGACCGTAGTGCCGAAGCAGCTTAAATTCCGGGATGGGAGTTCGGTGAGAAAGGAGGGCGAACAGGAGGGAGAGAAGGAGGGAGGAAAGGAAAGGGGAGGAAGGAGATTGTGAAAACTCTTGGCGTTTAGGCACCATACTGGCGCCGTTCGGGGTTAGTATAAGGCCGAGTGCAGCAGTGGGAAAAAAGATGGGGACTCGGACGATGAGGCGGTGGAGGTGCCAGGGCGTGATCCCACAGGGAGCGGGTGATAGGGTGGCTCTTTGTCTCACCTCTTTCCTCATCCCCCCCCTCGGACGGGATAGATGCACGCGGACTTCAACCGGATGATGAGCACCACCTTCAACGGGGCCTCCAACATCGTGCAGGACGGAGGTCTCGCCATCCTGGACAAGGAGGGGCTGGCGGAGATCCAGGTGAGGAGTGAAGGAGGGAAGGAGGGAGCGAGGGAAGGGGGAGTGTGATAAAGCAGATGGGATCGGAGGAGGACATGGTCTGGGAGACTGAAGGGGTCCATGGGAGCGAGTGGGAGGGCATAGTCGCGCTGGATGGTGGGATTGGGGAGGATGGGCTCAACGGATGAAATGGAGGGTCTTTGGCCCGCAGGCACGGTTAAATGCGTCCTTTGGCTCCCATGCGGTGTGTCGTCGTATGAAGCGCGAGGGGACAGGCGGGGGACAGGGTGCCGGTGCCTGACTTCCTCTCCCCTTTTTCATAGACACTCATCAGCTATTACCTGGCGAATGCGGCGAAGCTTCGGGCCACAGTAGAGGCGATGGGTTACAAGGTGCGTGGGAGGAGGTTGTGTAGCGCGGAAAAGGGAAGAAAAAATGAGAGAGCGAGAGGAAGGGGAAGACGATATCGGCGCTCCGACGAGCACTTATATTTGTCGGATGGAGATTTTTGGCAGTGTCTCTTCATGTCCGGTCTTTTTCATTCCTCCTTAACCCCTCATTCTCGACCCCTTTCTCAGGCGTACGGCGGGGACAATGGCCCCTACGTCTACGTGGACCTGGGTGGAAAGAGCAGCTGGGATGTCTTCAGTGAGATTTTAGAGAAGGCCCAGATTGTCACAACTCCTGGTGCTGGGTTTGGGCCTGGAGGGGAAGGATTTTTGCGGTTGAGTGCATTTGCGTCCAAAGAGAACGTGGATGAGGCGTGCGAACGGCTCCAAAAGGTTATGGTGAAGTAAGCGAATGGGGCAGGAAGGGTGGAAAAGAAATGAAGGCGACGGGCAAAATTTGGAGTAGGGTAAAGAAAATACTTCATATTTGATAGCGACGGTCTCCATCAGCTAAGCATTTGCTTACTTTCATTCCCGACGTGAAAGAAGTATGGGGGGGCTGGGTAGGGCCTCCAGCATGGAAATGGCATCCCCGGTGAAGTTCGCGTGATTATCAGTCCTGGCCCCAAACCGTGTGAGATCATTTAAACTAATAAGCAAGTCCCAGCAAACGAGTCTCAACCAAGCACGAGTCCGTGGTGAGTTACGGCATGCCGCTGCCTTCGCGTGTGTCTTTTTGTCCTGGTCAGTAGAGTTGCCATTATCGCGGGATAATGACCGCAGAGGGCCCGTCCCCTGGATGGCTGAGAGCCCGGGCCGCGCCTCTCCTTCCTCCCGTGGAAATCGGGTCTTTGGCCAGTTTGTGGCGGGGCCCAACGGCATCTAAACGCAGAATGGGCTGATATGTAGTCTCTGGACGGTCATAGGAGGGACAGATGGTGCTGCACCATATAATTTTTCCAGGATGCTTCCAGGGCTCGCTTTGCCGTTCATCACTCCTTCGCTCGTGTCATCTCACTCCAATAGTGTTTGAATTACAGCAGGTGCTTTTTGCCAAAAAAGCTTGGGTCTGGACGCACGACAATATCTTGTCGTCCTTAATTTGATTCAAGGTACGAAGTTGGACGGCGGGAGAATTCGAGGGCTCACGAGTGAGGGAAGATGGGGACACTGGATTTAGTGGGGTCGAAAGCCCCCTGTAGCAATTTAGTGGCTGAGCTTTGCACAGTCCTGTCTGGGAATCGGCCGTGTTTATGTGTGCGGTCTTTGTTAGATATTGAACATTTATCTACCTTGAGCGAAGAGGCTTGGACGTTCATGCAGGCGACGTCTTTCCATCCTTCTCATCTTGTTCTGCCCTGCTCCATCGTAATTTCTGATTTGTTTGCAGAAAAAAAAGCCTCTTTCTCTCAACTACTCCTTCTCAAGTATGCGTCACCTTGCAACATATCTTCTCCTCAAACTGGGCGGGAATGAGAATCCGTCGGCCAGCGACGTGACGACCGCTTTGTCTGCCGTGGGCGTGGAGGCGGACGAAGGCCTTCTGAGCACTTTGCTCAAGGACCTGGAAGGCAAAGACGTTGAGACGCTCATCGAGGAAGGCTCAAAACTCCTTGCCACATTTGGAGGCGGCGGAGGTGGGGGAGGAGGCGCTGCGGCCGCGGCGGCGCCTGGGGCCGCCGATGCGGGTGCTGAGAAGGAGAAGAAGAAGGAAGAGAAGGAGGAGGAGGAGGCAGATTTGGGAGGGGCCATGGACATGTTCGGGGTAAGTCTTAGACGGGAATGTCAAGTGTAGACTGGTTAGACGTGGGGGGTAGAAGGAGGGACACGCCTCTGGGTAGGTTGACACATATCGCGAGGATGCAATGCGCCTTCGCGAAATTACAGCAAAAGCGAGGTGGCTGTTATTGATTTAAATTGTTCCTGACGTTTTAAAGGATGGGATGCCTCATTTTTTCTTCGATCACCTCACTGATCATCAAACAGGGCGGCGATGGCTACTAAAAAGCATCTTTTTCAACGACCCGCGAATTTGTGGCTTCCTCTGCATTTGTACCCGTCACTCCCGGAAGGTCTAGTCTACTCCCCCTTCTCGCGGCTTGTTTTTTTTGGCGTAAGTAAGTCTTGTTTGCAAAGACATGTCATGTTGAGGTTTTGAATGCTCGATTCTGCTTTCGAAGCCTTTATATCGCGCGGGGGACGCCGAAAGGTCAAGTGGAAAAGTGTTAGACGGGAAATCTGGTAACAGTGATGGTCTCTCTTTTTGAGCTATGAAAAGAACAAAAGCAAGGGGACGAAGGAAGGATTGGGTATGCCCGCAAGCTGTGTCACTCTGGCGAATGGATCGAGACCCTGTTTTTGCTATTTTTTTCTCGGAATGGAAGATATTTGTGCTATCAGGAGGATATTTTTTGTTGAGATGATCATGGCATTGCCGTAGATAGGACGTAAAGCTCACAATTGAGGCCTGCTGCCTCCTACCCTCCTCCCTGTGGCTGTTCCCTCGTCACAACCACACAACTCTTTTAAAGCCCGCCGCCCGTCCAAACAAAATCTCAATTGCCTCTCCTTCGTACATTTTGCTCTTTACACTATGGCCATGAGATAAAAATATTGTTGGTATCGGGGTAACGTCCTGTGTACAGGCCTATTTCGTAGCTTGGGGAGCTCGGAGTTCTCCCTACGTGGTATCTCAGCCCCCAGCCTCCCACACTTACACGACGCTTCTGGCTGAAGCCATGCCTTGCCCTTTTTCTACTGTCCTTGTATAAAGCAGGACAAAGGAGTTGTTATGAACAAGGCCTGTGCCCTGCTACCAGAGACAATGTTTTATACTACGTACGCTATCTCCACCATCCACAGGGCAGGCTGTCGCCTCATCACCATGAGGAGACCTCTTCAACTGCTACTTGCCTGCTATTGCCTCCTCGCCCTCCCCGTCTCCTCCACCGCCTCCGCCTCCTCCCCGGGCTCGGTGATAAAGGTCACAGACAGTGCGAGGGCTTACAAAAAGAAGGATGTTTCGAAGACGGTACGCAGATCCAATATATTAATGCTCTTTGCCCTTTCACATATCTCTCTGCCCTCCTCCTTGCGATCACAGATCCTTGCACGCATTTTGAAATGTCCTGTATGAATGGCTGCATACTCATAAATTATTTATACTTCTCCCCTCATTTGCCTGGGAGCATCTTAAGCGCCCGAACATCACAGTCGGGAACTGCATCATACACAACACATTCCTAGAACCTCCTCCGTCTTCTATATTTTTGGCTCGCCATGCTGAATCAAACATTGTCGTTCCCTCTTCTTCCTCGTTGCATTTCTGTATAAGCTCAATCCCTGGTATGTCCACCTGACAGGCTCTCACCCAGCTTCGCCGCATCCAGGGCGGTGCTTCCTCCGCCTCCCCTGTGCCCACGGGCTCGAGCCCCGGCCAGCGCGGTCCGGACGGGAAGGTGATCCCAACGGCAGGACAGGCGTTCTTGACCGGCTTGCTCTCGGGGGCGGTGGCAGGTATCACGGTGGACCTGACCCTCTTCCCTCTGGACACGATCAAGACGCGCCTGCAAGCCAGCGCCAACACCAAGTTCTCGCTCGACCTGCTCCGAGGCGTCTATGACGGGGTGGGCCCGGGTCTTGTGGCCTCAGCCCCCGCGTGCGCCGCCTTCTTCGGAGCCTACGACAGCTTCAAGCGCGGCCTGTCGGCCCGTTTCCCCGACCCCAAATGCGCGCCGCTCGTAAACATGGTGGCGGCGGCGGGAGGGGACCTGACGCAGAGCGTGGTGCGCGTGCCTTTCGAGGTAAGGCCCGAAAGGGGGAGAGGGAGCGAGGCAGGACAAAGGGCTTGGGAAATACTAGGCGAGGCTTGCCATTAATGGACTGGCGATCATCCTCAAATCTAACGTTGCTCGTTCTTTCACCTCATTTCTGGGCTGCCGGCTTGCCCCTCCTTCCGCTGCTTCCAAACAGGTGGTGAAGCAGCGCATGCAGGCGGGCGTGGAGAGAACATGGCGTGAGGCAGTGCGCAACATCATGGCTTCCACAGGACCGCGTGGATTCTTCGCGGGCTGGTCAGCTCTTGCTCTTCGAGACTTGCCCTTCGACATCATCGAGTTCCCTCTCTACGAGGCACTCAAGGACGTGTGGGCGGAGCGCAAAGGCGGAAAACTGGAGACGTGGGAGTCCTCTGTCTGTGGCTCGCTCGCGGGGGGGATTGCGGCCGGGCTGACGACCCCGCTGGACGTGGTTAAGACGCGGCTCATGACGCAGCGGCGGGACAGCGGGCAGGTGTACGCGGGGCTCTTGGATTGCCTGGTGCGTGTGGCGCGCGAAGAGGGCATAGGCGCGCTGTACAAGGGCCTGGTTCCTCGCGTGGTGAACATCGCTCTGGGAGGAGCCATCTTCTTCGGGGCTTATGAGGCCTTCAAATCGGTGGCGGACCGGGCTCTGGTGCAGAGGGATCTCGACGTGGGGGAATGGTGGACAGGAGTGAAGGCCCGCGCTCATGAAATGCGCACACGGCAGTTTTCTCAGGGGGTTGGAGGGGCATTGACGAGGCAAAAGGGTGGTGGAGGGGGTATGGGGAAGAAGGTGATGTGAGAGTTGGTGGAGCTGACGTCATGGCTTTAAGAGAAGGAGTGCGGTGCATTGTTTTTGGGGGCAAAAGGACGAGATCCAGAAGAGTTCAAGGGCAGAAGAAGGATTAAGGAGATCGTTCAGAGGATTGGAGTTGAATGAGACGCTTGTCTGGTGGTGCCCGGCCTGGGATTCTCGCACCAGTTTTCCCCTTTCTTGAAAGGATGGGAGAGGACCGAAGGGAAGATTATTAAAGACTAAAAAATCTAGCCAAAACGAAATCCATGTGGAATATAGAGACGTTTTCTTTGGGATTTTGTGTTCTTCGGCTTTTGTAAAGGTTGGTATAACCTTCAGGGAGCAGCACCAAGATACTAATGTTTACTCAGGTAAAGTCCTTGCACTACCCTGTCCCGCCTCCAAAAATGTCAAGGTACGAAAAATGAAAGATTTGCCGACAAGAGGAGTGACAGATACATGTATGCAGCGATATTTCGCAATCTGACGGCATTTCCCCCCACCAACCGAAAATTGCCTGGAAAATATCACTCTTCGCATCTTCTGCAGCTCAGCTTCATGACTAGCACGCCACGAACCAGGCTTCGCATATCTGAGATACGTAGTTTTAATAACCATCAAGAAAATAAACTACCTGCAGGTCTCTCTAGGATGGACAAGGGGATTTTGAAATTATAAAATCGACGTACGAGAGCCACCGCCCCCGACGTATATACCCTTATTGAGTAGTCAAGATCTTTTGGGAAGGAACTCCGTATATCCGATAAGAGATAAACATGAACGCACCACGCATAGTTCCCATCGATAACCATTCGATCGGAAGAACGCATGCCTTCGTGGCTCCCTCCACTGCAAGAGTCCGACCTTTTGCGGCCTGCGTGGGCATGGCCTTCCTGGTGGATAACCGGCGCCTCGGGTTGCGACACTCTCTCCTCGGTGGTTGCGTCTCCCCACATCCTATCTTGAACGCCCTTCTGCATGAATATTGCCGTTCCAGCTCGACAGTCTCGTGCGGACCAATCTAACTGACGTCCCCCTACGTATCTTCCAACTTGGAGGGAGTTGCAAAGGCTTCGTGCCTTTGTGTGTATTAGAGAATGGGCTTTTATTCATCTCATCCGCTCAATTTCCGAGCTTCGCATGTGGTCATAATGTAATGATGCGTGTTGAATATTGCGATACGGTATCACTGTCTATGTGGGATGCGAAGGCTACTCTCACCCATGATACTAACTTTGATGCCGAAGACCCTTATTCGGGATCATTCAAGAATAAACCTGTATAATTTCATTGCTTTATTCATACCCAGTGTTTTGTAGCCATGCAGGTATCCAAGGATGTCCCCCGCAAAAGAGGCCACAATAGGAAAAAGACCTCTGGCTCCTCCTCTACCACAACTAAATCATCCAGCTCCCACTTGGCACGATGCCCCTCCCAACTTACTCCATCCGCTCTTTCAAAACTGGACCCGATGTGGCCATGCTATGCATGTAGAGCATCTCGAACTAAATGTACGTGACTACTTAGGATCGATCGTGCAGCGCACTACCTGGAGAATCAACTGGTTGACCTGGTTATTGACATATGTGCACTTGTTGTTTCTTCGGATACATTTTACTTGATCTCACTCAACAGGTAGCGGAGGATTTCCTTGTGCCCGATGCTCCCGCCTCTCCGTATGTTGCCTGCCCAATAATTGGAAAAGGGAGGAGCCTATACTGGAGTATGTCCTGACGACCCACAGCCCTAAGGTATGCCACACACGCGAGGAGAATTACGGGCAGTGGCAGGCAATGTCGATAGAACAGTGAGCTCCCTCCATAACTACTTTGTTACTTGCCGGTCACATTTCACATTGCCTTGTCTCAATCCTTCCTCCTTTTCTAGCCCTTCGCCGAGATGTATCTGCAGGCTTTCGAGCGGCTCTTCATCGCGGGCAAGATTCGACGCGACAGTGCCCTGCGAACTTTGAAGATGTGGGAATTTCTTTCCTCGCTTGCTGGAGCAGACGTGACGCTGGGCGTGGCGTCGCACGTTCAGAAACGCTTCAATGTGTCGGCCATCGAGTTGGAGGAACCCATGCGGATGCTTCAAGACCCCCCTTCGCATGTCCGGTAAGCCTCCTCGCCTTCTCTGCCCTTTGTCGCAGCGACCGCTCGTGTCCTCACTCACCGCTCCCTTTTCGGACCGTTCCCCCTGCCGCCCCCAGGTACCAACGGCTCCAGCAGTACCAATCGAGCGCGGCTAGCCAGGCTCGGACGCAGCAGCTTAAGGAGACGGAGATCTTCAAGCGGGAGAACGAGGGCACACGGGCCTCCAGGGCCTCTCTGCTCATGTTCGTGACCAACAGATCCACCATGTGGGCGGCCTGCAATGAATTCCACGCCGCTCGCCTCAAAGAGGCAACGGAGCTGTGGGACAAGGCTTTGCAACGCAAGCTGATTTGGTCGTATCTGATGGCACCGCTTTATGCGCCCGAGGACCGACGCACCTACATCGATAATATAGTGGAGATGATTTTCGGGCACGAGAAACTGACGAAAACCATGTTCTTCAAGATGTACGATAAGGACGGGAGCGTGAAACTCTGCCTGCACACTGCTCGGACCATACGCCTGGGGCCGCACACGACCGGGATCACCTTCAAGATCGAGAGTGAGTAGGCCTGCGTAGAATTAGCTGGAAACGTTCTCACAAAGTCAGCCTGTCATCCCTGCCCCTTGGCGTCTTCGATGTTTTCACACGATTGCCTGTCTATTTTGGCTCCATGTAATCATTCAATGCATCCGAAGTCCCACGTTTCAAATCACAGTACACGCTCCCACCCTTTTCCCCTTCCATTACTTCCCCCTTCCTCCAACCTCCTGGACCCCTCCCCCCCTCCAGTCGTTCCTCCGTCCCGGCATCTGACCATGAACGCGGGCTCAAACCGTGCGACCGGTCGCGTGCGCTCGACCTGGACCAGCGCCCGGGAAGACAAAGGGCGGCACTGTGTGGATGGCCACCAGGCTCCATCGACGGGCTTGATCCCAGCAGGCGCCAAGCAGGACGGGACGCGTCTGAGCACGGACGTGGCGTGGCCGGGAGGGGGCGCAGCGGGCAGAAGTGAGGCCCGAGCCCCAGCCAGCATGTGCATTCCCGGCGTGGCAGCGATCCCTTTCCCCGGCGCCAGCGCCAACTTCGCTGCCGGAATGTCCGGGGGGGCTTCTCAGTCGCCGGCAGGGCGACCTCAGGCGGGGGAGCTGGCACAGGCGGGGGAGCTGGCACACGCATCGCAACGCAAGGGAGTCACGGAGGGCCTTTGGTCCGCGCTGGATGCTCCGTCTTTCTCGGCACGCATCGCCTCCATGTCTAACGCGGACATCGAGGCTCTCTTCGCGGGGAAGAAAACGAACTTCAACGCAGCGCGAGGTCGGGGTGGAAGAGGTGGCGGGCGTATCGCAGGAAGGGGACAGAGAAAATCGCTGCAAGCAGTGAGGTCAGAAGTCAGCGGGGAGGTCCGCCCTCCGGTCTCGGTGCCCCAGTCCGTGAACTCGAACGTGACACGTCGAGGGAACGAAGGCACCAAGAGCCAACAAGACGAGAGGCAAGGGACGCATTTCGTAGGGCAGCAGCCTGACTCGGCGCGGGACGACGCCACCGGTCTTTTGCATCACGAGCTTGGCAGCGTCGAAAATGTCAACCAAGACCTGAAGGGGATGCTGCCTGACAGGAGCGTGGCAGTCGAGAAGGGCCAGGAGAGCCTTCCTTTCGCTCCAAATCTATCTTCACGTATTCCCTCGCCGGCCTACCGCGACTGCTGCCTTTCCCCTTTGGAGCCTCTACACGGCTCCCTCACCTCGGACACCTGCTCACAGGAGCGAGAAAATCGAAGGGTGGACGAAACCTTGGTGCCGCAAGGGCTTCAAGATCAAGATTTTTTCGACGAGCAGGGCATGCCCCTAGTGGACACAGAAAAAATAGGTCTCCCGGGGCCCATTTCTCCTTCTTCCCTTGCCTTTCCGGCCCATCTTCAGTCCAATACAGAGCACCCAGCTCCCTCTGCTCCGGGCTACGTAGAATTCTCGGAATATCCGTTGAACATGCTTCAATCACAGCTTGCTGGAGAGCAGCAACAAGCGATGCACCTGCTTCAGCATCATGAGCAAGCCTCCGGGGTGGACGATCTGATAGTGAATGAGAAGGAGGTCATAGACTTGTTTAAAGATGGAGACATAGAAACCTGGTGAGGGTTTCGTGGCATTGTGGGAAAGAGGTATATAGATAACGATGTCTTGATGAGGACAAGAGTGCATCTTAGACTTTCAAAATTTTCTGAAGTCTCCGTTAAAATTTCGTAAGAAGGAAGCGAATGGCACATATGTAAACCACTTATAAACCTATGAATGGAGGCGCAAGCGCTTCAGAATCGAATGAGCATAAAGCGATCATGAATATCATGTCAGTTCAGACCACCAAAACGAAAGATGTGAAGCATAGCTGCTCACTAATCGGGCGACTGTCTACGAGAATACAAACTGTTGGAAGTTGTGTGCTTCCAACGTGAACCAACAATTGAAGAAACTTTGGCGTGCGCATGTCACAAACCAAAAATAACATATTCAGAAAATTGACCACAGTTGTTCGTTCGGGGACAGTTGATCTGCCCTACCGCTCCTTTTGGCCTCGACAACGCTCCCGAGACAAACTCGTATCTCAGCGTCTACTGGACTGCTATAAACTCAGACACACCCACTCTTATAAACAGGAATTCACAAATATGTGGTCGCGATCCTGGTAGGCTTGCTGAGCAAACACGCCGTTGGTCTTTCACTGAGGAGGAAGAGTATGCTCCAAACGCTGCTACTCAGGCGGTTAGGTCGAAGCTCTCTTCTTCGATCGAACGTTCAATACCTCTGTCACCCATCTTAGGTCTATTACATGCTCTCCAGCTCGGGAATGGTTCCCAATCACAATACCCAGGCCTCAACGGGTGGAAAAGGCCTCCACGCCGTCGCATTTGTTTCCCCATCGTCTTTTCCCCTTGCATCCTGTCTCTCACCCCATTGGCGTCGTCGAAATGCCAAAGTCTGGCGGACAAGAGGTGTCATTATGTTTACAGTAAAGTTGTGCTGATATGCATTCCGACAAGAAGCCCTGAACACGTCCGGATTTTCCCCTTCCTCCCACTTGGCGCGGAGATGATAGAAATGCGTGTTCTCCCCCCCATCCGACTTCAAGAACGATGCGCCTCTGTGTGCCTCCCATTCCTCGTAGGATCGATAGAAATAGTGTTTCAAGTACAAGGAGGACACGGGGGCGGAGCAAGCTATCTCTTCCATCCCTGCGCCTGGTGGTGTCGTGCCGCCGGGGTCCTCCATGGCGTGGAGAAAATACGTGCGGCCCTCGTCCGCTCCCGACCACAACCGTTCAACATATTCCTTTAAAGTTTTGAAAGGTTCGGGTACCTGCCAAGGATCATCGCCTCTCATTTCCCTTATCATGGGCCAGTGCGAGAATTGCCAGTCCCGGATCACGTCTGTCCTCGCCAAAGTCTTCAGCATCCACGGCTCGTAGGACCCCTGCGACGAGCTTTCGATGACTAAACCCTCGGATGGGTTGCGTTTCTCGTATCCGTCAGAACCCATCACGACCCACGGAAGGCGGTAGACCGGTAGGTTTTCCTGAGTTCTGGCATCGAGAAGGCGGGAGAGGGCGAAGGGGAGTGAGGCCGGAAATGTTAGAAGATCGATACCAGCGTCCTCCTGGGCTTGGATGGTCAGATACTCATCCACATCAAAGACTCCCGTCCACTCGCACCCATGGCTACGACCGGATCCAGCATATGCCAGCATCTGATGGTAGAGAAAGGAAAAGAGCCGACCTTCATCTGGCACCCGGTTTTCGCCGCACGTGTACTCGCAGCCTGCATTAACCCGGCCTTTGTACCCAAACCTTGCTAGCATTGTTTTCCAAATAGAAGATGTAGACTGCTTGCATCCCCATTGGGTTACATGGCTTGCGTTGTAAGCAGAAAGGAGGCCTAGGCGATGATACGTGTCGAGCACCCAGGCGGTTCTACCTTCGTCGTCGTACAATCATCTACCAGGAAAAAATGTCCCACGCCCAGCAGATGGTGGTACTCCAACCATTCTGCAAGGCTCCTAGGAGTGTTTCGCACACGTGTCAAAATACATAGCTTGTGCGGCTGGGAGGAGGGTATGCTCGAGTTGGGCAAATTAGTTACCGATGAGGCAAGAAGTGATGACATGGACGGAGGCGACACGAATGTAGGAAAGATGGTTACAAAGCTTAATACTCCAACCAAAGCGACAATGGAAGACGCGGCTAATATGTACAGGCAACGACCATGACCACAAAAACTGCGAGGACACGTCAATTTGTTGGGGAGCATTGGACCTAGGACACAAGGCATCTCAGGAAGCACTTTGCATCTCAGAACAATGCGGCAAATATACACGCATACCTCTCAACCACATGGAAGAAAGGGTGCTGAAAATCGTGAATGCGACGTGGCCTGTCGATGGGTGTATAGAGAAGTTTGGTACGAATATATCAATATGGGCCGAGAGTCCGTTCCCACCCGGGGCGAGTGAGTGGTGAGAAGAAGGCTGGCCATATTTTATGGCGGATCACGGTTGGCGGTGCTCGCGTGCGTGGCGCTCGCATTTTGGCACGATAAACTTCTCACATGCTGTCTCGCTTGTCCTTGTATCCCTTCCTGTCGCCATTCTTTACAGGAAAAGAGCATTTTAATTGATTGGACGCAGAGGAGGCAGAGGATCACGTATCCGAAGAAGAGGTAGAAGGCCGCCTCCAACTTACACGCGCGGCCGCTACTCCACGCAGGAACTCATCGTTAGGCAGAATCACACATACATTTATAAAACATGGTATGTGCAAGTAGGATGGTGGGGGGTGGCGGGCGGGACGGTTAGGGTCGTGACTGGTGGTGTAGTGAGTTTCGTTGCGATGGGAGGAGCGCCATCATCCTCACTTCTCGCTTGTCATTTTTCACTTTCTCGTCACAGCCGCAACATGACTACATGGAACAGCACCGGAAAAAGCATGGGGAAAGGCTTGATCGGGAAGAGAGATTGTAAGTATTTGAGTTTGTTGCCGAATAAAATGCGGAACGTGGAGGGATCAATGCGCAAGAAGCGACCCAGCAGAGAGATGGAGCTGGGGCTGTTTGTTGTGCATCAACAGAAGGAGGAGCAGGAACATTCAAAGTGTTACACTCATCGTGTGAAGCATAAAATGAATCTCCTAGTCAGTTGCAAACTTGATCCTTATTGACCGGTGGCATTTTCCTGCCCCCCCACTCTTACCTTCAGACGCAAAAAGGAGGCGCGAGAGGTCCATCGTCGTTCGAAATTTGCCCAGAAAGTACACGGCTTAAGGGCAAAACTGTACAATGCCAAGCGCTACAAAGAGAAAGCCCAGATGCGTAAAACGTACGTCGTCACCCGGGTTGTCTGCCCGCTTTCCCCCATTTCTTTCACTTGTCGGCGCGCGATCGAGGCCTTTTGCATATGATAACCCTCACTTTCCCTCTTCTACTCTCTCTCAGCCTGGCCATGCATCAGGAGAAGACCAATAAACGTGCCAATCAGGAGGGCGCGCCGGAAGGGGCTGTACCTGCCTATTTGATCGACCGAGAAGGGGTTTCACGTGCGAAGGTAAGGCGGGAAAGGGATACCCACCAGGGAGGGAGGGACATATAGGTCAGGAATAATATAAAAACGGGGGCTAGGCATGGGGTCAGCAGTAAAATATGATCCCAAAAAATGTTTGGGTTGGTTCTTGCTCGGAAGCGAGTCAGTCGGTCATAACACCCCGCGTGTTTTATGCACTTTCTCTTTCTTCTCTTTGTCTTGCGCAGGTCCTCTCTAACTCGGTCAAGCAAAAGCGGGCGGAGAAGGCAGGAAAATGGAGTGTTCCTTTGCCCAAGGTCAAACCCGTTGCGGACGATGAAATGTTCAAGGTCATGCAGTCGGGGAAACGCAAAGGTAGGAAGCTTATCACCACATGCTTTGCTTTTCCGCCTTTCTACTCTGCCCCTTTTTACCCTTTTTACCCTCCTCTGTTGGTCGAAAATGTCTCTGAGAGGAACCACTTCGCGCACCCTGCTCCCTCCCGCCCCCTGGCCTTCCTGGAACCCCGTCGTGGATACACGCGTACAATCTTCTCACCACGTCTCGCCCGTTTCACAGCGAAATCTTGGAAGCGGATGGTAACCAAGGTCACCTTTGTGGGCGAGAACTTCACGCGGAAGGCGCCCAAGTAAGCAGGGAGGGAGACAACGAGAGGGAGGGCTCAAGAAGGGTGTTGAGAAGGGATCACAGGAAAACGGGGGGCCTTCCGATGGGACATGGGCATGCAAGAGGGGGACCGAAGGGGCTGGAGAGCGAGCGATCTGATTCTTTTATGAGACCAAACGATTGAAAATCTGGCTGCTTCTCTCTGTTGTGGCCATCTCTTCTCCTCCCTGGGACATTCTTTTGGAGGCGAACAAGCATTCTTCCTCTCTCTCCCTTGAACCTCATGTCCGCGGATTCCCCTATACCCCACCTCTCCTCGTGTCCGACAGATTCGAGCGCTTCATTCGGCCCACAGGGCTACGCTTCAAAAAGGCGCACGTCACGCACCCCGACTTGCAGGTGCGTTCGTTGCCTCCAGCGGCGGTCAGCCGGCAGGAAAGGGGGATGTGTGTGTGAAGTAGGAGCTTTTCGGCACAAGACACTCGTCGTCCGCCACTGATGATGCGACAAATACGATACGGAGATATTGGTCCCTGTTATCAAGCGTCGACTCTTTATCTTCTTCCCCCCGTTTGCCGCCGAGTCCGTGTCGCGTTTCTCACATCATACTCTTTCTCCCTCCCTCCCTCCTTTCCTTCCTTCCTTATATCTTCCTGTAGGCGACATTCTGCTTGGACATTCTGGGCGTCAAGAAGAATCCGTCGTCGCCCATGTACACGACCCTGGGGGTTATAACCAAGGGCACCGTCATCGAGGTCGGAGAGAGGACGAGAAAGAAAGAGGGGTAGCGGGAGGCTCAGCCGCGTGTACTTATTTTGGACCTCTCATTTGCTGCCCCTCCTCGCATATTTTATCCCTTCCTCCCTCCCTCCCTCGTTTCCTCTAATTTTAACAGGTTAATGTGTCGGAGTTGGGCCTTGTTACCACGAGCGGAAAGGTTGTGTGGGGAAAATACGCGCAGGTGCGTTCGAGGGAGAGAGGGGGGAAAAGGAGAGGGCTAGGGGGATAAAGGAGAGAGGAAGGGAAACTAAAAGGGACAGATGATGATGAGGGAATTTTCTTTATTCTGGGCTCCTGTTATAACTTTCACACTCACCCCTTTACCGCACACTCTGTCTGCATGTATCAGGTAACCAACAACCCCGAACTGGACGGATGCATCAATGCGGTTCTCCTGGTCTAGTCGGTTTCGGGCCGGGGAATAAGGGTGTATGCAGGGGGAAAGCTTGGAGGAAACCGTGGACAGGATGATTACGAATAGGACGAACAGATGAGGGTGGTACTGTTGATGAGAGCTGAGCCCGTGTGTGCGGACGTAGGGGGAAGGAACTATTGTGGGGGATCGGCGCCGGGTGGACGTTCGAGAGGGCCTCAAGAATTGTAAATTGACATGCAGTATGTGTACGAGCGAAGGGACCGAAAAGAAGAAGACGTATTGAGGATCGACACATCTCACTACGATGATGTCCGCAACATCCAAGAGCGGCTCTTTCTTGCGAGTATTTGTTTGACCCGCAGGAGATTATCTGTCTTATAATTTTCTACAATTTACTTCAAGTCATATAGAACACTCCTGCAGGCCAGCGGTCCCACTTTAGGTCTCCGCCCCTCTTGATTCTACAGCTTCTCGCTCCCAGGACACCCCCCTCTTTCCCTCTTTCCCTACCCCGAGGCTGCACTCCTGCTGCACGAGGCATTCGCTGCCTCCCTCGCGCCCGGGCACACCCTCTCCAAGCCCTCCACCAACTCCGCCTGCTCCCCGAGTCGCAGCGTCTTCATCATCTCGCCGAAACAACAGGAGGTGTAGTACGCGCACTTTTCCTTTTTAGCCAGGGCCTGTGCGGTGGCGGCTGCCTCCCTCTCGCGGTCGGCTTTCCGATGCTTCCCGTTGCCGATCTTGGTCCAGGCCACGCCTAAGGGAAAGAAGAAGGGAGGGAGGGAGGATGATCGTGGGAACATAGTGCTTGGAGAGCAAGGAATCGCGCCCTGGGAGAGGTGCCGGTAGTTGGGATGAGTGTATGGTGGCAGTGGAGCAGAGAGGAGACCAGGAATTCAGACACAGCCTTTCCCAAATTGGCACCTGTAGGAGTGCCCACGTTGGCGCTTGCGGAAGCAGAAAGGGAACGAACGATGAGCTCGGCGCAGAGACGACCCGAGACCGTGTCTTGAGCGCAGCCGAAGGTCCCGATGAAGCCTGTGGTTGGTGAGGAAGGTGGATCAGGAGGTTTAAGGCCGAAATTACGTGGTGCTGCATGGATGAATGTCTGTTGCCTATTTCTGACTTTTGTTGCTTTCTAGTCACATCCTTTTCGTCTTTTCCCCACCCTTTTCTATTCACTTGTTTCCCCTTGTTCTTCTTTTCAGCGCCGTCATCTCCTCACCTGTCATTCGATAGATCAGCAGCTCCTCTGATGGCACAGGAATCCATGTTCCTTCCTCCCCTTCACCTGCTTCCATCTCCTCCTCCTCCTCCTCCTCCTCTTCATCCTCCTGCTCTTCCATCCTCATCAAGCCCTCTTGACATGCGTTCCGAAATTCCCGCACCTGCCTGTCAAACAAAGGACCGCAGGGAGAGGAACAAAAAGAGCTAATTCTCAATGCCTGCGATTCCAACGTGCGCGCATTGAACGTCACGCTAACGATGCGGTCGTAAAAACCTCCCCAGCTTCCGACGCAGGCTCCCTCTAAATCCAGCTGATCCACGCGCCGGTCCACTGGAGTTGGATCGCACATTTTGTCTTTTCTCTTTGCCCCCTTCTTTTGGAGCTGCACAGATTGATTGAAGACAGTAGATACGACTAAATCCTGGTCAAGGAGGGCAGGTAGCGTGGTTGCTGTGGGCAATGCAGCTGATAAAGTCGCCGTGCTTTCAGATTCTGTCTTTTGAGTCGCGGATACCAGGTTAACACGTGAAGGGGCAGAATTGGTAATGACTGGCTCCCTTCTTCCTTCATGGATATTGGGTAGATCTCTTGAATTTGAATAGGCAATGGACGAGGTTGGTGAGGGAGATGTCGAAAAGGAATATGAAGTTTCCAATTGATCGAGGCCTCCTCGTAGACCGCAACCTCGACCTCTGGGACAGCCGGTGGAGGATAACAAAGACTTCAAGGCTGGTACCGTGGACAAAACCGCTTCATTCTCAGACGAATTTTCAACAAAGCTGGCGCCCACGAATGAATGGACAGCAAAAGTGGTGTAGTGAAGGCTTGATAGGACGAGCAGGATCGCGCATGGCAGATGCATTACATGCGGTACTGTGATAGCCGATGTCGACATTGCAGTCAATTTAGAATTAAAAAAAGGTTTACTTTTCCAAAAACTGACCTAAATCAGAAATGCGAAGACTCAAAAATAGAGATCTATGTTTCAATTCAAATGACGAAAAAAAAAGGGGGGGGGGGTAGGGATTCGGCAATTCAAGCCGACCATGTCCAAACCCGACAAGAAGATCCCTCTAAAAACGTGGCATCGGTAAGTCTTTCTCTTGTATGTAGCCAGCGCCCACCCTTCACGATCAGCAGGATAAAAATAATGCATGGGACTTTGTTGTTTCGAAAAGAGAAGGTGTACCTGGCGCCAAATTGAAAATGCCACGATCTGTTCCTCCGCAATTTATTCCCGCTTTGCCGCTGATTGAGCATTTGCTACCTTGGATTTTTGGACGTTGTGCGATACTAATTTAGACGCACTCTACCCACAGAATATCAAAGATTCGGGGTTCCATATATGCAGAATGTACACAATTTGCGTGGTTTGCTAGCCGTGGTCAGTACAGCGCTTTTTGTGTGCCTCCTAATTCCTACAAGGGCCCAAACCCAACCGCACCATTCGAATATTTTGCAGCGTCCTGACTACACAAGTGGTGACTTTTCTTCAGATGGAAATGAAAATATAGTATCTTTAGCATCTGAACGTGTCATAGCGTCGAGTGAGGAAATAGCTGGAAAGAATGGAGGCTCGCTCGAAGCGGAAGGGCGTGAACTTCGCATCGGAGACAGTGCATTCGCTATGATGATGACCCTTAACGCGAACTACTTGCGGGTTAATATGTGGAAAGATACAACGCTGTGATATGTTGTAGTTCATTTATGTTTCAGTAGAGATACAAGGAATAAGGAAATGTCCCGTAATGGTTTAAATCCATTGAGAATATATTCCACAGCAATGAGGCCGAGCGGAGTAGTCTTTTTTGGGATCAACTTTTCGTCACCTGGCCGTGTACTCCCATATATTAAATCTCTGTACACATCAATGTCTCAATAATGCTTTCTCATACACGAATTTCGAGTTACTTTTTCGGATGGGGAGGCATTAGTTGTCCCTAATTGAGTTCAAGGTTCCTGATATGGCCGGAATTCTATTATTCCAGTGATAATGCCGGTTGTTGCTTCATGGTTCAAAATACGAAGATCGCGCATTTCAAGTTGTAAACGTTGCTTAATTTCAGTTGTTGACAGAGCGTTGTCTGGTACTAGACCGTTCGCTAGTAGTCCTCCATCCCATCGGCGACATGTTATCCTCGCACATATTTCAAGCACATGAAACGGCGTGGTCGTGGACTGACGCACTCCGAGACAGAAATTCCTGTCACACACTGGGTTCTGTGTACTCGCGCAGGTCCTGCCGGAGAAATGCGAGAGCAGCCAACTGTGCTTCCCGTGCTGCCACTTTTCTTGTTGCAGTACGTGGCGTTCTCCCACGAATGAACACATACGTGTGCGTGTCCGATGGCGAGGCATTCGAGTCAAATCACCCGTACACTTGCTTACATTCGCTCTCGTGCGTATCCTATTTGCAAACAGAAGAAAGGAGTTGCGATAAATCATGACGGCGGGCAAATATCTGGTTATTGGGGGAACGGGGGGAATCGGACGCATGCTAGCAAATCGACTGGTGATGAAATATCACAAGGTGAGCCGAGGTGAAATGGGGGCATCTACAATGCGAAAAAGAGGTCGATTAATGAAATGTAGCCCAGCGATATATGTGATGATGAAAATTTGTGTATTATCAGCTTTTAAAGGTCGTAGACGCCTTGTGTGAAGGAGAGCTCGGGAATGGTGTTGAGCGTTCAGAGCCAAGCCTGAGGAAGTCAAGTCTCGTTTCGCAGAGCAGTCAAACAGAAACGACCGACATCCTATCGACAACACGACGATGAAGCAATCTGTGTCGACCAAGAGTTATTAATGTGATAAACGTACACCACATCTGAAGACCTCCTTGGTAATTGCAATCTAAATGTTGCGACGAAGGCTTACCCGTCCCTCGTTCCGCCCCCTATTCCTCCACCTCTCAGGTGCATTTGATCTCGCGCCACCAGGATCAGCTAAATCATCTGGCGTCCTCGTTACACGCGCCTGGAGACACAGGAACGCACACGGGAGTGGAAGGAACTGTGGGCTTCACCGACGTGGACGTGACGGACACGGCAGCCCTCGAGAAAGCCATCAAAGGGATGGGCCCGCTCAACGGCCTTGCCTACTGCGTGGGGAGCATCAACCTGAAGCCCCTTAAGGCCACCACATCCGACGACTTCCTTCAGGCCTTCATGCTCAACACTTTAGGCGCCGCCACCGCCATCCGCGCCGCGCTGCCAGGCCTAAGCGCCCAGTATAAGAAAAGCGGGGAGGCCGGTAGCGTCGTCCTCTTCTCCTCCGTGGCCGTGCAGCAAGGGTTTCCCAACCACGCCATCATTAGTGCCTGCAAAGGCGGCGTCGAGGGCTTGACACGCGCCCTCGCCGCCGAGCTCGCTCCCTCCGTCCGCGTCAACGCTGTGGCCCCATCCTTAACAGATACGCCGCTCGCCCAGGTCCTGACCCGGTCGCAGCCCATGAAGGAGGCGATCGCCAAGGCCCACCCCATCCCCCGGCTCGGTCGCGGAGACGACGCAGCGGCAGCGGCGGCTTTTCTCTTGGACAACTCGGAGTCGTCCTGGATAACGGGGCAGATTGTGGGCGTGGACGGAGGGCGGTCGGTGGTACGAAAATGAGGAGGAAGGGGCCTAGAAGAGGGGAGACGAGGACAGAGGGGTGGGGGGGTCGGGGGATAGCAGTGATGGACGGGGTTTGACGATGGAGGGAGGATGCGGCGGGGCGTGTAAGTAGAGAGGAAATTTCAAATCAACAAGGTAAACACTAGGGCGCCACACCGATCAGATCTTTTGCTTCAGATCTGGGTTTAGAAACTCGGTGCTTTATACTTTGGGTTTCTTTTGCCCGCAAATCGTCGCTTGGTCCCCTGCCTCCCCTCCCTCCCCTGCCTCCCCTCCCACCTGCTTGTGGGCGGTCACCGCCCAGACCGCCTCCCCCTCCGCTTCTTTAGCATCTGTGCGAGACGACGCCTCGACCCTCCTTTTGGCCACGTCCTCCACATTTCTTAAGGCCCTCACGCCCTCGCCTTCCATTCCTTCAACCCGCCCTTCCTCTCCCTCCTCCGGCTCTTCAAATTCTTCCACCTCCATCCTCTCCTCCCTTTCCCGCCCACCTATTTTGCCCGTCAAAAACGTGTCACTGTCTTCTTTGGCCCCTGCTACCGCACGTATCACCTGCCCCCATACCCCCCCTTCCCGCAAAGGAGGGAGGAGGCCATTGTCGTGTCGCCCGGAAAAGGATGACGAGCCAGGCTCGTAAGGCGGCACCTTTCCCTCCTCAGAGGGCGGAGGAGTGCTCTGCACGGTGGGGGAATGCATGATAACCAGTGGTTCATCAATGCATGACCATTAGAATAGTTGCCATGGAAGTGTGAAGGGAGAGCGAGCATGCGGCGGTCAGTTCTCCGGTATTAAAGGGGATGGGTTAAGGCAAAAAGGAAATGGAGGTGTCAGCGCAACTGCCGGGCTGATGGGCTGTCACCCCAAAAATGGAAAAGCTCTACAAGGATATACACTGGTACACACAGGCATAGGGATTGGCAGAAGAACTTTGGTGGCCGTTTCTGCAATTACGGCTACGATACATAACGGGGAGGTTGGCAGCAAGCTTCTACTTTCGATGCACGTACGATTGATGACACTTGCGAAAGTGGCGTTAGACAGGCGAAGGTATGGGATTCAACAGGCTGGTTCGTGTTAGGAGCCTGTGTGAAGAAGGTTGCTTGGACCCCAACAAGCGGGTCTTCGCAATTTGTAACGGAGGAAGAAGAGACGGAGGTCGTAGGGAGCGTCGAAGACAGTGCAGGAGACGCCTCCGGCATTCCTTTCTAACGTGCTGTGATGTTCGTGGTTGTATCCAGCATGTGGTGAGTATGTGCATCCTTCCGAGGATAAAAGGGGTTTATCAAGTGGAATGGTCGCCGGCTTGGATTAAGTCTTGGCTATGAAGAAGGGGGACGCGGCTCGGCCCATATCCTGGCTTTGGGCTCCTGAAAAGTAGCTTGCTCCCAACGAGTCAATGAATGCCGACAAGATCATATTGTTTTTGGCTTCACAGGGGTTGAAGATGGGCTTGAAAACGTATGAGACTTGATCATGAAGGTGGATGCTCCACGTCCGAAACATGAGCAGAACAGGACGATTGAGGGCTGTCACAAAATCCTCATATTTCTCTATTCTTATTTATTCCATTTATTTATTTCATCCTGCTGTCGTGATCCATGGAGCAAATCAAACAATGTCGAGGACTCCTACAGTGAAATGCCCTTTTTTCCCTTCCCCGCCATGAAGGAGTGTACTTCAGTCAGGGTTGCTTGCGGATAGATCGCCCCCGGCCCTTGACACACCATGGCACCGCATGCACAGGCAAATCGAACCACCTCCTCTATTCCCCCTTCCTTCCCTTCCTCGAGCAAGCTCGGCTTGTTGACGAGTTGGTGCAACAACCCAGCTACAAACGCGTCTCCGGCTCCCGTTGTATCGATGGCCTGAACGTCGAAGGCATCCATCTCGCCAGTGTGTCTCCCCACCTTCCACGCCAACTGTCCCCCGCCATCTGTCACTAACACCGCCGGCTTTTGCGGCAGGGCCTCACTGATGACGTGAGGGCGTGTCTCGGCGTCGAAGAGCCACTCTGCTTCCTCCTTGGCGAACTTGACCAGGGAGGCTTTCGAGAGGAGGGGACGAATAGCAGCAAGGGCCTGAGAGAAAAAATGGAGAAGAAAGTGAAATGAACATTTAAGACTAAGGTGCGAGACTGGCAGAGGCTAAGTCCTGGAAGAAGCTACTCTGTCGGTCTACAAGCAGGGAATCGCCCAGGAGAGGCGCCGTGCCTTTTGACGCGGCGCGTGCTCGAACCTACGGCAGTCAGCGCCTTCTACCTTCTCCGTCCCTATCAGCTTACCGCAGGCGAAGGCCCTTCGGAGGGATGGCTGTGTCCCTCCCAAAACGTCGGGCGCCAATTGATGTCCAGGGCTATCTTAACACCTGCCCCCTCCGCCCAGCTAACTGCCGCCTGGGGGGAAGAGGACAAGGACGGCACAAAGACATTAAATTAAGTACGGAGAGAGGAAACCATTGGGATTTGAGGCATTGGCGGAATGCTTTGTCCACCGATCGATGTCTGAGGAGATTTCATCACGTTTATCACGTAGGTCTTAGAAGCCTTTCTCCCCCACCTGCAAGGCGTCGGCCGAGAGGGCGCTCGCCAAAGGTAACGTCCCAATCAGAAGCCATTGTGCCGCGGGAAGGAAGCGAGGGAGAGCTTGAAGGAGGGCGAGGGGGTCCACGGCCTGGTCCGCGTAGCCCTCTCCGGACCGATCGCCGAGAAAGCCTCCGAACTCCCTGTCTCCCGACGAATCCCGCTCGACCAGCACGACGCGAGAGGGGCGAACGGGGTCCCATTGAAGAGCGTCGATGTTAATATGCCGGTTCTGGAGGAAGATAGGGGGAAAAGGAAGGAAGGAAGGAGGGAGGGAGAAAAGGGGAGGGAGGGGAGGGAGGGAGGGAGGGAGGGAGGGAGGGAGGCGTCACGCTTTTTTCCTTGAGTTGGGTTGTCTTCCAAGTCCAAGGCGTAAACAATCCCAATCAATCCTTCCGTTCTCCCTTCCTTCCCTTCCGTTATCGTTGTTCACCTTAAAAACTTCTAAGAACTGCCTTCCAATCTCATCCTCGCCTAGACGCCCCAGGAAAGCCACCGAAGTGCCCAGCCTGGCCAATCCACACGCTACGTTCGCGGGAGCGCCACCGAGACGATCATCCTGACCTCAGTATAACAGGATGATGAGTGCGCGGAGATATGAAGGTACGATGGAGTATAGGATTGCTCGTATCAGGGCTGATACGTCGAGCCAAAATTTGGCTGGACGAAAGGCAAGGGAGGTCTTTGTCGAAAACGTACCACGGGCAGATCAGTCGCCGGGTCACCACCCAAGGGTCCCAGACGGTCAACAAGGGCCTCACCGTAGCAAAGCACCTTAGGAGGCTCCATCCCCGTTGACATGGGCAGGCGGAGGCAGCGGGAGGGGGAGGAACTCGCAGCATGTGAGGATGAAGACGCTAGAAGGTGCGAGGACGTGAAAGCCTGGAGGGCCAGTAAGCAACAGGGATTATATAAATGAGCACACGTCATGCTAGCCCTCGTATAACTCGATACTGTGCTTCAAAACGAACCTGTAGGTGGAAGGGCATGGGTAGGAGGAGTGCCACTAGGAAAGCTGTTGACCACAGTGGAAAAACTCTAAAGCTTTTTGGTCCTTTAACTTTGAACTCCATTCCGCTAGAATCTACAGTGGATTCACGCTCCTCAATACACCTGTCGTTTGGAAAAAGCAGTTCAAGAATGGATGAGACGGCACAATAAGTTGTCGTTGATGCACATGCTTGAGTGTGACGCCATCATTTAATGCTCGCTCATGCCTTGTTCCAAGCAGTCCCGACTTTTCAAGATGCAAATATGACGATTTAAATGTTTCGTACCTGACTCGATGTACTTTCTTACAGGCAAAAAACTAGCAGAAGGGAAAAATACCGCTCGATTTGTTGGCTCACTACTCACTTGCGGCTCTTCTTCTCGCTCTGATTCGAGCTTGTTTTCATATTCGTGCCGTCCAAAACACGGGGGGCAGCAATGGAGGAGACTTCGAGACACGAAGAAGAACAATTGAAGAATGGAGACACCGATAGTCCGAGTGAGCGGTCTTTTCTTTTGCCAACTGCATTGGTGGTGCGTTCACTCTCGTCTGAAAGTCAGGTAGGACGGCTCGTAGGGCTGTTGGAAACTTCGTGGTCTAAGAGATCGAGGCGTTACGTCATCATTTTCGGAGATGTCTTGCACGTCCATTATTTAATGTAAAAGCGACGAGTACGTGCATGAAGGGACAATCACGACCGATAAGATAGGGAAGGCGAGCAGGAAGAGAGCAAACAGAAGGCGCTTGGCGCCTGATATGATCTCTCGTGTACCCAAACTCGAAAACATCCCATCACCACGTCCTCTCAGACACACTATTCTTCTCTTTATATTTTCCCTTACCCTCGTCTTAGTATGCGAGCCTAGGAGGCCCCGCCACGCCCTCCTGCTCTCCAGCGGCGGCTGACAAGGAGTCAACGAGACTGCGGAAGCGACCGAGGAAATTGCAAGGGTGTGTGGGGCTCAGTGCTGAGAGGCGCCCCGGGAACGTGGTCACGGTCTAGAGGAAAAGGGAGGGAAACAGCGAGGGATGCAGAATACGGGTTCCGAACAAGTTTGTCTTGCCGTCTCCTTTGCGGAGCTCTCATGCACTTTCAAGACTTGAACGTCCTCCCTATCTTACACGCATTCATCGTGTAACCCACAACAGGCGGCGGGCGCTGGATATCAATCTTTTGACAGCCTTGAACGGGCCGGCCTCGTTCGCGATCCCTTGGTAGTCGTGGGGGGTGTCTAAGGAGATATCTGGACTTTCAAGTGCTGTCACATTCCTCTCTACTCCTTGTCCGTCTTGGTCACGTATCCTTCCTTTCTCCTCCTTGCCAGCCATTGTCTTTTCTTTCTCCCTTTCGCCCTCCTTCGGCGCGCCCCATCGCCTCCACCCCAGCGTCTTGACGTCTTTGCCCTCCCTGTCCCCCGACCCACCTTGGCGGCAACTTCCCCGTTCCCTTTGACAGGGCCTTCCAGGAGGCCGGGCTGGCGGCCGGAGTGCTCGGGGTGCTCGCGGTGGCTTTCTTCTCGTACACCACCTTGCTCCTTCTGATTCGGTCCGTGCAAGGAAAGCTGGATGGAGGGGGGCTAGGCAGGGAGGACGTTTGCCTGGGCGGGAGGCTTGCGACAGCTCGCCTCCTCGCTGCTCGACTGTGGCCCGCGTGGGAGGAGGGAGGGCGTCGGGGCCTCACATCTGTGTGCGGGGGACGCAGGAGGGAAGGGCGTGAAATGATGGGCGTGGGAGGGGTCACGTCAGAGCCGTTGGCGCATTCCTGTGTTGTTTGTGACGAGCCTGAGGCTCAGACTGTATGCTACTACGTAGTTGGAGCTGTCCTGAGGCGTTTTCCCGGTCGCGTCTCGGTCGCTCGGCCAGAAGCAGATGGGATGTAGGCGCGCTGATAAATTTGTTTGAATGCCAGGGCTCTCACCTCCCTTGCCTTTTGGTCCCTCTCACGCAGGGCCAAGCGCTTCTTGTCGGGGGGTCCGCCCGCGCTGGAGGCAAGAGAAAGGATGGGTAGGGAGGATAAGAGGAAAGATGCGGGAGTGGAGGCCGTGGCGGGCGAGAAAGGAGGAAACGGGTGAGTGCGGGACCTGTTTGCGCGAGGAATGTGCACCGGGTTGTGATGGATCGATCGCCGCAGAGGGGTCATTGCATGCGCTTGGGAAGGGGGAGAGGGCTTCGAGCAACACGACGAAAGGAAAACCGAAAGCCAAGATGTGCGGCGGGGGAAGGGGGCTCTGGGGCTTAGGTGGGAACCAGAGAAAATGGAGGCATGATACCAGATATATTGTAATTTACAGGCTCTCGGAAGCGGCGTCGGCGGCTGTAACAGTCCTATCGTCCGTGCAGGACCAGGCAGGAGCGGGGCCTGCGGACCTGCAGCTGAGCTATGCGGAGGTAGGAATGGGAGAGGATGGAGACACAGGGGCAGGAGAGCGGGAAAAGAGGCATGCGGAGTGGGAGAAGGGCAAGAGAATTAGTAGCCGAGGGTCGGCAGACGCTGTCAGGCGGGGCTTGGAAGGGGAGGGCGCCGGTTGACGACTAGTGTCTGAAAGGAGCCGTGCTTGACACGAGAGAAGGCGTGAAAGTGTTGGGACTAGTGTCTGAAAGGAGCCGTGCTTGACACGAGAGAAGGCGTGAAAGTGTTGGGACAGCAGATGATCTCAGAGGTAGACCCGGGTCATGCCTCGTGCTCCACAACGTACAAAAAACCTCGCCGCTGCGTGACTCCATGACTCCAACACGGAACCCCCCCCAGGTGGCAGCCCTCGCCCTCGGGGCCCCGGCCTCCCTCCTCGTCAAGACGGCCACCTGTGTTTCTTGTCTGGGCGCCTGTGCCGCCTACATCACTTTCGTTGCCGGGATGCTGCTTCAGCTCTTTCCGGCATGGAGCGAGGTGGGTTCTGGACGGGTGGGACGATGGGAGGTAGGGGGAAAAGACGGACAGAGGGAGGAAAGGAAGCAAGAAGGGCGAGGCTTTGGCTGCTGCCGCCGTGGACAGATGGGGGGTATGGAAGGGACGAGGGACGAAGGGGAGGCTGCCTTGGAGACGCGTATATGCAGCTATGTCATGTTGAGTCTAGAATAGTAGATGGTCTTATGGCAAAATGATGCTTCGTGTCGTGGGAGGGCGGGCGACGTGAGAGCAACGGGCATCTATGCAGAAGAATCTGGAGGACACGGCAGAAGGGAGGTCGAAAAATTTCCCAGCATCCTCGCCTTGGCTTTGCTTGACCTCTGGCCTGCTCTCTCTCCCCTATTCAGAGGGGAATCCTCTTGGCCCTTCTGCCGCCCTTCGTCCTCCTCTCCTGGGTCCGCGGCTTCCGGCGCCTCTCCTTTTTGAATGTGCTGGGAAATGCCTCGCTCGTTCTGGGTAAGCCGAGAGGGGCGGACAAGAGGACGCTCGCTGAGCCTGGGGAGCACGGGACTGTGGTTCGGGAGCAGTGGGGGAAGGAGAGAGCTACAAAAGTGTCGGATAGAGGCCGATCAGGAGCAGGATGTTTTGATGGGATGCAGGGAGGAGGGCAGGTGGTGGGGATGTGAAAAAGTGCCGTGTCTCTCTCTTCCCTTCCCGTCGCCCCTGACCAAGCCCCGTCCCCCATACCAGGCATTATTGCCATCTTCCTCGACGGTTTTTCTCGCCTCGTAGCTCCCTCCTCCTCCACTTTTCCCCCCGTCTCGTCCTCCTTGTCCTCCGCTCCTAAGCCTCCCACCCCTACGGCCCTGTCTCCCGCTCCCTCCTCGCCCTCGTTTTCCCTCTCCACCCGCGGTATCCACCTTGTACGACCCCAAACCCTCCTCCTCTTTTTTGGGCCCACCGCCTTTCTTTTCGTTGTCCACTACTGTAAGTATGCAGGGTATAGCAAACACGAACGAAAGGACATGGCAGGGAGGGCCTGACGTAGGATGGGACTCAGGCCAACGGCCAAGATGCTGGAGTCTAATTCAAGGGTGGGAGAGCGCCGCGACCAAGGGAGTTCGAGCACGCACACGACCTCATGGCTGTGTTCGTCGACTTGCTCCCTCTCCCCGAAACCCAAACTCTTCCATCCCTCCCCTTCCTCCCTTCCGCGCTTTCAGGCGCTCTACCAATCGAATCCGAGGCGAAACGTCCCGAAGACTTCAAGCGAGCCCTAGGACTCTCCATGAGCCTCACAGCTGCCCTGGACGTGGCTATCGGGTAAGGGAGTTAAGGTTTAAAGGCGTTTATCATCATGGGAGGGGTAGTGAGAGGAAGGAGGGGAAGCCTCCTGCATCTGTTTCCCTTTTCTCAACTCTGCTCGCATCCAAGGTAGCCGTTGAGACGCTTAACGCTATTCCTTTTCATATCCAATGATTTGAACATCCTCGTCCTTTTCCTCAGAGCGGCTGGCTACATCTTCTATGGGGGACTGTCCCCCTTGGTGAGGGACCAGGCAGGGCAAGTGGTACCCGGATGTGAGCGACCCGTGTGCGATAACGGTGCGTATTGGAGTGGCCATGGTGCTGAATCTTTCAGGAGAAAGGATGAAGGACAGACACGTCCATGTGTGTTTCTAAGAAGAGCGGGCAACTGGACGCAAGAAGGACATCGAAGCCCAAGCGATGCGAGACGTTGGCATGGCTTCTCTGCCAGTTCGAGAAGGGAGTCGAGACCTTTTTGTTGACGTCTCCCTTGAATTTTCTTCCCCCTTTAAGTCCTCAAAAACATCAGCCCCGGACCCCTCAAAACTATCATCTTCGCCGCGTTTTCTATCAATCTGACGTTGACCTACGTCATCATGCTGGCCCCGCCTCGGGAGTACGTGGAAGAGGCGATGGTCCGAGGCGACAGGTACGCACGTTGACAGGAAGTGGAGAGTCGGGTCGTCTCTGGAGGGTGGCATCATTCTGCAGACGTTTGTATTGTGAACAGAAGCACCCCTTTAAAAGACCCACAACGCGTGGCTATCTGAACAGTATAATTTCAAGCAAATGGCAGCGAAATATATGGCGTTCAGTCCTCGTCATCTTCACCTTCATGGTCGCTTCCTCTGTCCATCAGTTTGGCCTTATCACTGCCTTTGTAGGGGCAATCACGGACACTCTGCAAGGCTTTGTGCTCCCACCCTTGATTTATGCTGCCACCTTTGCCGTTTGGATGCCAAAGGCAGAGAAGGCGCTAATGATTACCATGAGTACGCTTGGTATCGTGTTGATGCTGACCGCCACGTATCAGAATATGAGGGAGTTGGAGAACTTGGTCCTCAGGTAGTCGATTGATAACAAAGTGAATCTGTGCATATTCAAAGTAAATCAAGAAATTCAGGAATGTTCTTTTCCTAGTTGCTCAGAAAGGAATTAATTCTGAACGTGACCGAGATCGACTGTTCTATTTCCAAGCTTTTACCGCGGGCTCACGGTGGGATACTTGAAGCGGCAGCATGCGCAATTACTGTGCGCTCAAGCATCGCAGCTCCGATCACTCGCTGTCCCCTCCACATGGTGTGATACGTCCAATCTTCGAGCCTGCCCGCGCAATTGGGACCTAGAAGGATAATAATATCCGAGATGAGTTCCTAAATGCTCTGCTCTGGCCTTGATACGTGCCACAGCTTCCAGTCGAAAAGGTTCCTCTTCCACGTTTATTCTTTGATCCTTCTCAGATCCCTTTTCCTTTTTTGTGATCGACTTTCCGTATGCGTTCATTGTGAAAATATCACAGAAATTAGAGCCAAGATCTAGCATAGCGTTCAAGTCATAGGTTGCAGCAGACAAAGAAATGATATCGCCAATTATATGCGCGAGACAAAACATTTAAAAAAATCGAAAAAAAAATACCAATAGGCTCGGAAAAAGTAGAAACCGACTGCTTTCGTGTACAAATCGCTGCAGTGTCCACAATTTAGAGCCCGAATTCATATTGTCATGAGAACTAGTATTATTACTCACCGTTAATTGATCTGGGCTGCGCGGATGCTCTTGATTTCCCCCATTTTCCACTTCTCTCAGCTCACCGGACGCGACACAAACACAGGACTAGCACTCGCCCGTTGGCGGCGACTCGGGAGGCACTTGTGTTCTTTTTTCATCCATAGCGTTTGGGACGTCACCCGTCTCGGCAGTGTGCTTGTCTAGATGACCCTGAGGCTCAAATAGGAGAGCATACGAGGTGTCGCGGCCCACAGAGCCACCACATCGATCCCCTCCTTGAATATATTTATCGCCCACAATTTATTCCTTCCCCGGTCTTTCCAACACAATGCCCCTACAGATGGGCAGCGACGATGGTGAGGAGCAGGATGAGAAGCACAGCGAGGCCTTAATCCTTGCGGATATAGAAACTTTGGCTTGTCGGGTGAGTAGTGGGGAGGAGGAGAGGTGGTAGATGAGATGCGGTTTGAATGTTGAGGATTGCTTACGCCTCTCATTTTTCCGATTTACATGCGCCGCTTTTCCGCCTACAGATCTCGGTTGGTGCTATATTGAGGCCTCAGTGCGACGACCTCTTAAAAGGCTTCGAAAAGAGGATGATCGGGTAGGTTGATATCTCCCTAACGCCTTCAGCGAAGGGGGAGAGGGGGAGGGAGAAAGGCAAGGGAGAGGAGAACAAAAGGGTGCAAATGTCACCGCAGGATGTCGTACTCATGTGAGCTGCCGCAATCTCAGGTACGAATCCTCTTTGCGGGAACTGGCTGCCACCTCTTCCACTTTACTCGCCCGCATCGCCGCGCTCCGATCGCACGCGTGGGGAGTCCCCCAGATGCCTTCAGCGGGCGTCAAGGGAGGGGAAGGCAGTGGTAAGCTCAAAGCATAAAAGGGTCAGGCAGCTAATATGGCTATAATCCGCGATCATTTTGCTTTCGAGAAGCCAGAGGTTTCCAGCGCGCCCCTCACTCGCCCGGCCCCTATCCTCCGTGTGTTTTCTTCCCGCACCGCACGTCCTCCCGTCTCACCCCGTTCCTCCCTCCCTTTCCATCACTCCTTCATGCCTTTTTGCTGTTTCTGGTCCGTCAGCAGCCATGGATGGGTCAGAGCGGGGGGGCAGGGAGGCCGTGGAGGGCTGCCTGGAGGCGCTTGCCATGCAGGTTCGGGTGCAGCACAGCCAGGTGGAAGGGCTCGAGCTCGCGCTGAAGGGAGAGTGGGAAGGTGCGACGGGGGGGGGGGAGGCGGGGAGAATCGTGAGGCTAGATCAGTCGCCCTTGAATCGGGGATGCGACGTCCGTGAGGCTGGTATGGGCGTTCCCTCTTACCCGCACTCTTCCTTCCTTCCCAGAGCGTGGGGCCTTAGCAGCACGACTGGCGCCTCGTCCACTACCTCCCTCCTCCTTGTTAGGGGGCCTGAGGAGTGCGGAGGGCCGGGAGGGGGGGAGGGGGGAGGGAGAGTGGACGGGGGGGGGGAGTGGCCGCTGGTTGGCAGAGAGGTTGGAG